ACATGTGACGGCTGACTCGTTATGACAATCTAGTACGATTATTAATTCTGTTAGGCTATGAAAACACGCTTGTGATTCTAAAGCCAATTATCGGATTACCAAATTAAATAATATATTATAGATTTTCAGCCATCTCCAAACAGTCTACAGTTCTCCACAAGGGCGAACTATAAGTGTTGACACATACACTCTCACAACTTGCCTGTAACATTTACTATATTATTGCCTATATAAAACTCCTTTAAATCAAACCATTTGCAATGCTCATAATATTGTTTGTGTATTTGTATGACTCAAGAGACACTCTTCTTCCAACCACGTTTTCCTCGTGCAAACACACTTGTGTTGAACACACATGTTCAACGACATTATAATTGTATATTAAATTATATTTACTCACTAAAAGGACCTATATTGTCGACATGCAAAATTACTTGGCGATAAGGATTCTGGAGACTAGTTTAATCCTCCTGTAATAATTGTGTATTTGAATAACTAGAGATTAGAGATTTTTTTTTCAATATTATAAACATGTTTTGAGGTCGTATTTTTATAGGGCATAACATAATATTATAATCACACAAATGTTTTGTTAAACACTTAAAAATTGTTTTACATTTACAAAAGTAGTTTTGTAATACAAGTATTGAAACAAAAAAAAAATCGATTTAGCTAATACTGTTGGGTTGTGATTTTGAAAACTGATTTTAAATTCTCATAGGAATTTCATCGACTTATTAAATTTATATCTAATTTAAACTTGACAATTTTTTATTGAAATCACCCTAATATAGTATAAATTCAGTTGAATTTAATAATATTATGTTCCAGATTTTTTTTTTTGAGGGTTTGTGGAGTAGCTCAGGGGCAAACCTTATTATCAAATTACATAAATGTCTACAAAGTTTCATCACATTATACACCACGGCGTAACGTTTTAATATAAAGAATTCGAAATTTTATAACCTTACAATTGATAATATAATTTCTTAGAACATAGCACATAAATTGAAGAAATTAATCAAAATAACGGTATAAAATAAATTCAACAACTAAAATAATATTGAACGGGCATTATTTAAATTATTTGTTAGCAAATTTTTTTTTATTAAAAAAATAATGTTGAGTTTTACAATTATGTTTTAGAAGAACAGCTAATAAATTTTAGCTAGCACACTAATAAAAGTAGACTATTATATTATTATAATTAGTGTGATTTGATACTTTTGGCAACATATTACTTGTTGCTTTAAGGGGGCTCTATACAGACCATTTTTAAGGAGTTTTTTATAGGCAATATTTAAGAAAAAAATGGCTTAAATAAATTTCGACCATGTCAATAAATTAACCGATTAATTTGTATAAGCTTCAAGGTATTATTTTTAATTTAAATCATTTTGTGTATGAGCAAAAGCCATTTTAGTCAATATAACATATATTTTTTGTTCCATCGCACAGGCTCAACCAGAGATCCGATAAGTAATATGAAAACAGATTTGAATTTTTCATAAAATTTACTTGAGATCGGTCAACGTACTATTTTGATATCTTATTCCTACTATGTATAAAACACGTTTGAACATTTTATAAAATTTCAACATTTTAAAATAAAATTTGGAAAGGGTTAAAATTAAAATTGGAAAAGTACCTCGACCGATCCTAAGTAAACTTCAAGACAAATTCAAATCTTTTTTTATATTACTTATCGGATCACGGGTTAGGCCTGTGCGATAGAATAAAAATGATGTGTTTTGACTGAAAAAATGATCTGTATGGAGCCCCCTCAATGGAAATCTCACGTGTGTTGTAAAAGACCAACCAGTTTTTACTTCAAATAATTGGTATGGTGTTCATTTTGTAAATAAAGTTAAAGTCAACCATTTTATTCAAAGTATTTGACTTTTTATAAAAACTAAAACCAACGTAATCCGTACAAAGCCGGATCAGAACAGCAACGTTTATTTGTTTTAGAATTACTTTAATGTATTAACAACGTCGTAGTTACTGAGGCTTGTGGAGAATTCGCCATTAGTCACATTTATTTAACAGTAGTACAGTATAATTTATGCTACATGCAAACAGTGGAATTGTTGATTTCATTAAAAACGTCATCCATTTGACATTTCACAAGAAGAAACAGTTTTTCACACTTTAAAAAAAAAAAAATAACAATTTCATTAAGTGGATATCTTTGATGAACTGAATACTGATAATTCATATTGAGTAATCTCAATTTATATTGATTATTTAGTTCTTCTCTATCTTCTATGCTTTCATACTAATTGTTTGGGGTCGACCACCCTTGTCTTAAATTTCCACTAGACACGATCTCCCACATCATCTTCTCATACACCATATTGTGGCCTCATATTATTCTCAAACTACCTCTTTTTCGGTCTTCCTCTTCTTCTTTCTCTTTTTTGACCGCTTGTCTTATGTATTCGTTATATTGACGACTATTTAGTAATAACATAATTATGAGTTAAAACCTAAAATCGTATGCATTGCGTTGATTTGACAAAGTACCAACAAATTGAAAATTGTCCAACAAATTATACTAACGTTTGCCTTTTCAATTCATATAGAGTATTTTTTTACTTTTTGTATGTATTTGGCAACATTTATAACAACCAATTTTAATATTTTGTTTAAATAGCCTTTGCGTGGGTCATTCCTTTCAAAACATACAACAATTATTTACACACAATTTAAAAATGTATTACAAACACTATGAAAATTAAATTGGTACATATTCGGCTCTCTATATGCATTTTTGTGTATATTACACATAACTTAATACGTCTTATTGTAACTAATGAACTGCAGTATAAATTATCTCTATATTTTCAGTTATAAGTTATAACTCTAAATCGTGTAAGTGTTTTTTTCACGCCAATAACATAAGTTTTGAATTATTACTAAAAAACAATATATTGATGAGATCTAGAGAGTTTTTTTCTCTTAACAAAATTAAGATCATTTATTTATGGCGTATTTATATGACATCCTAAAAATTTGTCGTTATCATTTTGTATGTAAGTAAATTGATGTTTTTTGGAAAATGTGAAATAACAATTATTCTGACATTTTGCGTATTGCACATAAAAGTTTTCTTAGAATGTATTAAGGGGTAGAATATAGGCAATAATTGACAAAACAATTATCTTTTATCTATAAATTGCGATCATACAATTGGTTTTCCAATTAACTGATAAAATGAAAAAACGATGGCGTCATGTAAGTGTAATCAGATTTTAAATTTAACTATCAACAATTAAATGTAAAAAACAAAACAAAAACTATAACATAAAAATCACAGAAAATAGAAATCATTTTTATTTATTGTACTGTTTAAAGTTTTGTACATAAAAAAAGCTGCAAAATCCGATTAGATTACGAGGTGTTGTCGTTTTTCTGTTTTTAGCAACGTTAAAGCATACCAAATTAAAAAAATTAAGTAAATGTTTCAATTTTTAAATCATTTTCTCAAAGTTGCAACATCGATTTTATATAATAATGTTTCTTAAGTGTACTTATGATATTAAAAATTTATTATTTTGCTGATTTTTCTCCTATACAAATGTCAACCTACAACAGAGGGTTTTCTTATACACAAATATTTTAATTTTGTTTTTGTGGAGACTGGAGAACATGCAATAAAAAAAAAGAAATCATATAATAAATGTATGCAATAACTTATATATATACAATGTATATATATGTACATTGTTATTTACAATGTTGTAGCAATGATACAATAAAAAAACAAAATATGTTATCACATAATATGTATATGTAAATATTATAATATTATGTTTTATTCGCACTAACACAATGCAAACGATTTATATGAATATTTTTTAATACAAATTTTCACCATATTTTTTTTGTAAAGTATTAATTTTATACTTTGCTGTCTGATGTCTATTAACAACTGCCTACAAATAAATCTGAGCTTATATGCGACGTAGAGGCGCGGCTATAAGTTTTTAAATGTTGAGAAATGTGTATTGTGAACTTGAGTTGGTTTACCAACAAATTTATGGTGATTTTGTCGATTCAGTTGAACCGTGCATAAATTCTTATATTCGTATCATTACTATTGACATTATATTTACATATTAAGCATACATATATATGTATTACACGTTTGATTGGTACAAATATTGCATAATGCGATTGTTAACGCATTTTAATTGTTGGCATAAAACAACAGCAACAAATGACCTAAAGACAACTGATTTCCGTAACGATTTTTCGGTTCAGTGGTTAACCGTTCGTTGGGTTTACCAAATATTCAATCGAATAATCGATACTCGCTCATGCTCATTAAAAGGTCAGTTAAAATGTATAAATATATACATCATACTGCTTTATGTCAACATGTTTGTTTGTTAATACCCCAATTAATATCCAACGATGCGTTTAACCAATTTTTGTTTTTGTTCTTTCACGATCGATATAACAATAATGCCAACAGGCCGCTTTGTGATTAACCACCGGCAATCAGTTGCGATTATGCCTGCAATACAAAATCGCTTAAGATTTTAATTTCAGAAAAAAATATATATATAAATCATATATATTTTACTAATACGTTAAATAGTCAACTACAAAAAATATAAAACTCGAGAAATAAATAAATAAATAATATTATATAATATATTATAACAGTAATTAAATAATATTTTACAAATACATATTGGGACTATTAAAGTTAAAAAAAATACAAAATAGATATTAACACAGCGTATAAAAACACTTTGAGTGGTATTATTTTATATGTGGTTTATCTAAGGAATGCAATATGTTTAGGAAGTTTTAGGTTTGTTTTTTAAAAGTTTCGTTTTCACACGTTGATTAGTATAAAATTAAATATTTTTTTATTTTATTTTGATTGTCGGTAAATTTACACCGACGTTTCTAAACAACAAACGAATACAATAATTTATGTAGAAAATATAATTAAAACGTTACAAATGAACGATTATTCAGTCGCAATAGGTCTTAAACTATTATAGTTGGTATAAGATATTAAAGTAAAAAAAATAATCGACTCACTGAGAGTATAAAAGTAATCATGCAATAACTTATTGTTTCTTGCTAAATTTCCATTTTTTGTGCTCGTCGTGCGATCCTTTCTTGCCGTACTTCTTTTTGTGTCCATACTTCTCGTCGTGTCCGGCCGCCTTTTTGTGCCCTTTGTTCTCCTTGTAGTGTTTGCCGTGCTTGTGCTTGCCCTTTTTGCCCTTGTGGTCGTGATGGTGTCCAGAGTGTTTGTGTCCCTTTTTGTACTTCTTGCCTTCTTTGTGTCCGTGCTTGTGTTCGTAGCCACCGTGCTTCTTGTGGTGTCCACTGTCGTGGTGTTCGTCGTAGAACTTTTTGTTTTTCTTGTACTCGTCCAGCTTGTGCACCTCGTGCTTGCCCTTGGTGCTGTGACCCTTCTTGTACGCTCCTTTGTCCTCGTACTTGTGTCCCTTTTCGCCCTTCTCTCCCTTGTGATGGTCCGCATAGTAACCGCCCTCGTCGTGGTGCTTCTTCTTGTGGCCGCCTTTTTCGGAGAAATGCTTTTTCTTGTCCTCCTTCTTGTGATGGCCCTTTTTTCCCTTGTGCTCCTCGTGCTTGGACTTGTAACCCTTGTCGGCCTTTTTACCTTTCTTGTTGAAGTGGTCCGCCTTGTGACTGGATCCACCTCCCTTTTTGAACTTTTTCGATTTTTTCTTCTTTTTCTTTTTTTTGTGCGACGCGGCCGCCACCTGGTCTTCCACCGGCAACGCGGTCGCCGTGTTCGGTACTACGCCGAACGCCAGCGGTGACTTCAACGGTTGCAGCTGAGACGCCTGGGCCAGCAGCTGCTGTCCTCCTGGATCGATGGCGGCCACGTGGCCGTGCACCTGATACCACAGGCTAAACACTAGAACGCATCTTAACGCGGTGGTCTCGTACATGGTTTGTGATTGTTGTGCGCGAACGGTGTTTGGGATTTTGCTATATATACCTTCTGTGCAAAATGCGATAACACTGCTCCCACCGGGCGACGGCACAAGACGCCATCCGCGGGGGCAGCCCAAATCCGTTCAGCCTTCACAGATGGAACACTTTTGGTTTTCTCGACATTCATGGTTGCTCATCCACGACCGTGTGTCTTCAACCCGACCTCTGCGGCGTTGTTGTTTCTCGTCAACAACAAGAGGGTTGAGCTGGCGACAATTCACAGGACACAGAGATGACACGATACTCACAGGTGTCCTATGCATATGACTGACACTTTTACTCGATTCTCAATTTGAGCAACTCGTTCGCTTTGGATTTTTCCGCATAAAACCGTCCATCGGGGCTTAACTAATTGCTCGTGTATCACTATTGCTGACCGAATTTATTTGGAACATAACATTTTGATATTTTCATTTTTTCAACCGTGTTTAAAGGCAATTTTGTTTTGATGACTTAAGATGCCCGGTAAGAATGTAGTTTTCGCTCCAAAACATTCGAAACAATAACTTACGATAACAATTAGGTTTACTACGCCTATACAATATATAACTATCTGTACAAATTTGCTTAAAACTAATGAATGGCTGAGTGTTGTTACATAATTATGTAACAACATACGAATGACATTAGGGTCAAATGGAAAGAGGGGGAGGGGTGTACATAAACATTGTGAAGTCAAAAAAGTGCAAAAAAATAAATTCTGACAACTTAAGTCAAACTTAAAATAGGAATACATTCAGATGGGTTTGGCATGATAGGACTTAAAAAAAAATAAGTAATGTGTGGAAAAACAAAAATAATAGTTATTGTATTTCAATTTTATCGTTATTTCTTTGTTGTAATTAAATGCTATTCAATAAGTAAAACAACTCTATAAATGAATTTTAAATATTTTACCCACTTTAAAAACAGTGAATTATATTAATGCAAACTTATAAACGTTTCAAACTGTTGTAACAGTTGTAAATTCATAAAAATATTATGTTGATAAATACTGAATATTTGTCAATTGAAACAAATTTTACTTGAAATAAATATTTGTTAAAACGTTTTATTCGCGCTCTTTTTAAAAGTAATATCATAAATACGATCGAAAGATTGAAAATTATTTATTACTAAACATATCTGCAACAACTGTGAATAAGTGTGTAAGTCGATTTCAGTGATTTTACAGGGGAGCGATTTTAAACTTTGACCAACTGCTATAAATCCCTACTAAGCTAATAACTTACATCTCTGTCAAGGTTTTCTTGTTGGTCCAACGAGTTAGACATTTATTCAAGGTATGCTAGACTACATTCTAGCGTACTTGGTCAATTTTGACCAAAATTCGACTTACACACTTTTGACAGTTGTTACAGATATATTGTCAGCACTGTTGGTGAAAATAAATCCACGATTAAATTAAACAAATAGATGTAAAAACTAAAAAGTATATTATATTTTGTTAGGATTACAATTTATTTATGTAACTATGTAAAATGCCGTTGAAGTAAGTTAAATCATATCACAAGCACTAATAATTATGTTTAAAAAATGAAGTTTCTTTTACTTAATGTTAACCAACAAAACATATTTTTTTAATAGCTCTTTAAAGGGACATAATATAAAAGTAAAAAGGTATAACCTTCTTGTTACCTAGTTTAAACATCAAGTTTTCATAATGCATTGTGCTAACTCATACTTTCGAATTTGTTGGTCATTATTAGGTTATGGGTAATAAAAGATTAACCTAACCTGCTTTGAAAGCAGCGTTCTGAGAAGGTTGATCTGATATTATAGAGACGTAGTTTTCTGGATGCGTTCTGACTTATTTTATTAGGCTTAGGTGTATTGTAATACTTTATATTATCGACAATCGATTGCTCTCTCTTTTTCACTTTTTTTTATGTCTAGCTAATAATTGTTTTGTTCTCTTGATTTTTATACATTGATCGTACAGAATTGTATAAATTGGGGTTTTTTAATAAAAAGTGGAAAAAATTATCATTTTTTATTTATACAACTTTAAAACTAATTAATAACGATTACTTTTGTTTGAATAAATGTTGGTAATATTAAAGTGTCTTCAGTAACTTGGTGAATGTTATATTATTACTTTAGTTATACTTTTAATTTAATTTTAACGCCAAAACGCGTCACTGGGTTGTATTGTCTGAATGAAACCGTTAATTTGTCCTAATTTATCTATTAAAATATCAAATACTAAATTTATTTCATACTTGGTACTTTCAATCTATTTTTTAATTTCCCGGTCATGTGTTTAATGTATTAGTTAATAGAGACAATATTAAATAATATCTTAAAAGTTTATATCGCTATTATAAAGGTTCGCAATTATGGTAAAATTGATAAGAAGTTTTTTTAAGTTTATACTTTAAAATAAAAAAAAAAGTACATTGACTTTAAAGTTTAAACCAAGGTATATTATATGGCTCGTCGATTTAAAAAGGAACATCTCTTTTTTTGAACACAAATAATAAGTACATAAATATTATCTCCGGTTTTTTTTCATTAAATAAATTATAATTTACATCCATTCAGTGTGCACTTATATTAATGCTAAGGGATATATGACCTAGTTAGCTTACGTTGAGAATATATTTTGGAGTTTCTTCATTCAAATTCTCAAATGACTTAATCAATTCTGTGGTTTGGAGCAAGAAGGGCCAATGTCACTTTTTGCAACTTTCGGAAAATGAGCTTTGAAGTTTTTATTTTCCAATAGGCTCTATGTTAATTTTTTTATCAAACTCTTCATGAGTAATTCATTTTTTGGCCTCAGAGTGTGATTTTTTCACAGTATATAAAGAATGATTCAGTTTTTGCAATTAGCGGACTAACTCGTTTATGCACAAAATTGACATTGGCCCTTCTTGCTCCAAGCCACAGAATTATACTCTTATATACTAAATCACGTATTTGTTTTACTATTATAACTCAATAAATACACTAATGATTGTTTCAATAACAGTATCGGAGCTAATTTATGTACGCTTTATCTAAGTTTTTTTTTTATTTCTATTATTGCCTATTATTATTAGGATCGTTGTACAATATTTGTAGATCATTCTTGTTAGAGTATTTTTTTGTTAATGTAAACCAAATAAACTTGCATACTCTTAAGTCGGTGACCTAAATGAACAAAGTATTGATCGTGAACGCATTTTAATTATAACTTTATCGGGCAAAATAATCCAATATTGACCGATAGCTCATTGATATTTTTAAAACTTGGTTATTTTTGTTTGAAGTTTGATGTCAAACGATTTTACGGTAGTGACCAAGTTACTTTTCATCCATGAGCACGCACCGCCGCATATTCAAAATATAAGTGTGGCGTCCCGTATAGACATTATGTAACGGTGTGCCTAATCGGTTATCGTCAAAACATTTTACAGCCGTCAAAAAGGGGGAAACTGAACAATACACAACACTAGCTTTTTTTTTATCTAAATTATTATATAAAATAATAATAATTCTATATTAAATTATATAAATATATGAAAACAATAAATAATAAAAAACACAAATAAGATAATTGAATTTGAATAATATTCATAATAATAATGGTAATGATAAAATGGTATACAAAATCAAAGACTGTTTGGGTTTCAGTACGTCGCGTCGGTAAAGGGAATAAACAATGAAAATTGCAATCAATTTTTCACAGTTCAACCTTGCTTCTTCTTCTTGCTGAACCCGTACTTCTTGAAGTGCTTGTGTCCTCCCTTCTTGCCGTAGTCTTCTTTGTGCGAATGGTGTTGGTCGTGGCCCTTCTTGCCGTGGTGTCCTTTGTGCTCTTTGTCGTAATGTCCTCCTTCCTTGTGCCCCTTCTTACCGTACTTGTCGGCGTGGTGCGCGGACTTGTGGTGAGCGCCCTTCTTGTGCTTGCCTTCTTTGCTGGCGTGCTTCTTATGGTGGGCGCCGTGTTTCTTGTGCTTGCCGCCCTTGTGGAAGTCGTCGTAAAACTTGTGCTCTTTGTGGTACTCGTCCTTGTGGAACTTATTGTGATAGCCCTTGGTTTTGTGTCCCTTCTTGTGGCCCTTCTTTTCGCCGTACTTGGCGCCCTTATGACCCTTTTCGCCTTTGTGATGGTGCCCGTACTTCGAGGCCTCGTCGTGCTTCTTCTTCTTGTGGCCGCCCTCCTTTTTGTAGTGTCCCTCGTGTTCCTCTTTCCCGTGCTTACCTTTTTTCCCCTGGTCGTGGTGGTGCTTCGTCTTGTACCCCTTGTCCGACTTGTGGCCTTTTTTCGAATGATGTTCCGATTTCTTTTTAGATCCACCGCCTTTGACTGATTTTTTCTTTTTCTTTTTCTTCTTTTTGTGCGAAGCCGCCGTATCCTGGTCGAGCTGCGCCAATCCCGCACCGGCCGTCGCACCCGTCGACAAGGCCAGGGCCTTTGAGTCGGTTGCCGCCAAGACGGCCTGCACGTTGTCGGAGGCGGCCGCGGTCAAAGGCTCCGCGACGGAGTCGGCCGGGATTTTCCGGGAATACCCGGCCCTCGCGAATATCGCGAAGCACAGCGCAAAGTACACGAGTAACTTGGTGGGCCCCATGATGGGCCGGATCCGCGGCGATCCGTCAAGTCGACGACAGACAAGCGGAAAACGACGTACGGACGGTGTAGGACGTGAAAACCACCAGATACATGAATAAATTCGAGTGACGTTTAATCGACCGCGGCCCGATCACTACTGACAGCAAAATCGTCGACGGTGCTCATTTTTATAACGCTTGCGACACATCTCAGTCGGATGCTTACACTTGGTACGGTGGCAGCAGCAACCTCCACCGACGTGTGCCAGTTACGCTTTCACGCTCGTTGAGCGGCCGTCGACAGAGCCAATCAGCCATTGCTTCTCGTTTACGCCCATATTGCCATGTGTATCGCCCTGTGATAACACAATAATAACACGACATCATCATTGTAACGACGGGGCCCATACAAATGTTGACCGCAAGACCGCATTAAATAATTACGAAAAATAAACACAGCCCACCGCAGACCGGTAAATTACATGATTCGCATTAGCTCAATGTGAATTAATAGATGTTAATCCGGGATTAACGTCGTCTACAAGCGGTAGCTACGACCAAGTCTAGGCAAAAAAAAAAAAAAATAATAACCAACATCCGTCTCTGGTCGGCGTTGCACGCGCACTGCCCCGAACGCTCAACGCTGTTCTACTTCAGTTAACGGACCGAATCGTTGTTGTTTTTTTTTTTATCTTCAGTCTATTTGACATTTTGTTTACGGGTGCGATACTGTAAAACGCATACAGAGCGTTTCGATTAACACGACAGTTTTTTCTCCTCGAGTATTTGGACAATGTTCAGTCAACATTTCTTGATAATATACAACAAAATAGATTTCTTCACGAGGTCACCTCGCTTAAGCTTTGACTTGAAGCTAGGAAAGTGTTGGCCTTAAAACCAACACCAATTGTTATGTATTTTTTATTTTATGATCAGAAACTCTATAACAAAGTAATTTTAAAATAAAGGAAATGTCAATTTACTCCGGCTATGCTTTCCCGAAACGAACGGCCGACCAGAGAAGGAAATAGCCACATTTTACTACAACGTTGTGAGGGTAATAAGGTGCATACCTAAAAGCTACCGCATCATTTAACGGGTCTTAGAAATGATTAGGTCAGCTGTAAACACAGACAGTAAAATAAATAAGTTCCTCTCAGCCCGTCTGAAAGATAAACAGACGTTTAATAGGAATGAGAAGAGAAGACAACGTAGTACTTCGATTTCGTAATGATCAATTAAATGACTTATTGAAGTTTGAAATGCGACGGTAGTGCTTTACCATAAAAAACCACCGAGCGAACTGATTTATAAATACATAATACAATACAATATGCTAAATCATAAAAAAATACAGAAAGGACGTCCAGAAGTCCTGATTTCTTATCTGAAAGGTTAAGTTAAGTCCAAAAGAACTTTTGAAGATAGAATTATGCTCAAAAATTCTTTAATGCGAATTGTTGTTAGTAAAAATATTACATATTTGTTAACTTTTTTAGTTTTTAATTTTAAGTGTTAAAGATTTTTTTTTTAACAACCAAGTTTAATTTTAATTAATTGAGTAAATAAGTATTAAGTTAAAACACAGAATGTTAGATTTAAGAAAAAGTAACCGAGTCAGTGTAAGAGGAAGAAATTGGTTAATATTATTTGCAAAGAGCAGATGCTATATACTTAGAAGTTGTTATAAATGGAATTCAATTAGGTTAACATGATATATTTTCCTGGTAATCATTCTTTTAAGAAAAAACTCGATGTGAGTTACTAAAGAGAATATTAACTTCAGCTTCCGCAAAATCTGACTTATTTTTATTTTGGTTTTCCGCATTGAAATTTTGATTTGTGCGAAAATTCAGACTTGTTGAACTTGGTGAAAAAGCGTTACTGAGAAATAAAATATCAAACGATTTCTTAGTGTATATTAATTTACATACATACAAACAAAATGGAATAAAAATACAAAGAACAATTTAAATGAAAATGTAAAAAACACATTATTTTTTATTTAATTTCGCATTTTTTAGAAATGTAAAAATAATTGGTAAAATTATTTTAAGCTTATATATTTTGTTTTTTAATCACTTGATGCACACTCTATTGTTTCCATCGATATCATGTTCTATTCGCAAATTAAATAACTATTCTGGTTTTCGCAAAATGATAAGACTTAATTTACAATTTAGTTTAAGAACTATTGAGATTTACTTGAACATCGGTTATTAGGTAGAGTGTACAATTATATCGTTGTATATTACAATATGATACATTTAATAACATTTTATAATGCACAACTGCTTAAAATGTTTTCAACTAGTTCAGACGTAGTTCAGTTTTTACAACATTCGCCGTCGAAGTGGAGAAGGAGTTAGTTTTCTTTTTAATATTTTATCTATTTTAAGAAACCGAATATCGATTTAACAAATCATTATTTTCATGCGATTCTGTAAATGGCTAAAAAATTGTACTAAGAAAAACCGTTGTTCCCAAAAAAATAACCGTTGTACAACCAATTACCAACCAAACAAAATATTTTGTTTATTATCTAGTATCTAGTTAAAAGAAAATACATCGAATCTTTTAGTATATTTTTAAGAAATCCATATAGTTCATGTTTACGTTAATTATATAGCTATGGTAAATTATTTGACCATTACACAACAACCTATTATGAGTTTATACTATTGAAACAGGATGTCAACCAGCAATATGTATTTATTATTGATCGACATTTTTATATCATCATTATTATTACTATAATATATATGTATTTTATTTTTAATTTGGACTCGTGTATTTTTAACGTTAGCGAATAAGAATGTTTGTTACATGCAATATAAAATCTACAAAATAAAGAACGATAATTCAAGTTTAAAAATTTATATATATTTCCCATAAAGCTCAACGATTTTTTTAAATTGTAATTATGGCGAAAGTGCTCTATAAAATCGTTTTTAAAAGTTTTTAGGTTATTTTTGAAATTTATACTTGACTTTTTGAGACTTTTGTTGATTTGTGGTCTATTCTAAAAAAAGTAAACAATTATTGACAAATTGATGTTTAATGCTTTGAATTTATTTTATTTATTGCGACTTTTTTTGCAGTTTTGATGTTGTATCGTTTATTAGATTTGTTTTATATTTAATAATATTACCAAAGGCTAAAGTATAAACACTATTTCCTTACTTAATATATTAAGACGTAATATGCATACATTATTGCTAGAACGCATTTATCGCATTACTTTTGATTTTTATTCAATTAAAATATGTTAAATAAAAATTGATTAATGAATAAATTTGTAAATATGTATTACTAAAATACAACGTGACATGCAAACACTAAAAACAAGCGTTACTGGACAAGCTGTATAAATTCTTCTTTTCTTTCATCTTCATCTTATCCCATACAAATGAGGTCAGTCAACCAAATCCTCTCTTGCCACAATTCTCGCCGTTCGTTACACCTACATACATTAAAGGTTTTGGTACTTTTCGATAAATAAGCTGTCGAATGTTGCACTATTGATTTACTTCTAAACTACCCCGTTTCTTATAAACGTCCTTACACTCTAAACGGCGCCCGTTGGGTCTTGCCACTTCATTCTACCACACTTATGCTCACCGCTTATTTTTCGCTGTTTCTTAATTCTCCTCTTGGCCGGCTGGAATTGCAAGAATGATCTAAAGTGGGACTATAACGTATAAAATGTTCTCGAAAATAAGTAGTCAAATTTTTTTTTTATTAAGGGAAAACCAAAATAAAAGAGAAAATTAAACCATTTTTTAGAGGTTTTATATGAGAGTGAGTCAACATATATCTGCGAAAATATAGTTTCTATGTGGGAAACAACGGCAACAAGTTGTTGTACACAGACAGCTGACCCTTGCCGTAACATCCCAAATACACAAAATATAACTTTAAGCCTACCGTAGCGGTTACTGTACAGCTTTTTGTACCATCTACAGATTCGCATCGAAGCGTTTATTTAAAAGTGATTTTATCACTTTCGGTTAAATAATGATTCATATACGTCTGTGATCTCTCCCGATCCAATGTGCTCCGTCCCCATTACACTGGCATTTTTTTTTTTTTTTTACAGACTGGATATGATTTTGGCGGATTTTTTCAATGTCAACGCCTATCAACTGTGTCGCTGTTACGTGCTGTTTGGCTTATGATCGGATCGGAAACTTATGATAATCGTTGACCTCCACAGCGATTTCCATTGGCCTATCTACCCCTAAGTCTCCGTCGTGTCAAATGCGTGGTACCTACGGAGTTTCACAATACCAGTTGTTGTGTCTTTGGCGCGTTCAAAATCCAAACGCATCGTAACATGCACTGCCGGTGTAGCCTTCGCGTCCCCAAAAAGAAACGATTACATGCTTTAATGGGCACATTTATTATTGTTTGTGTTCGGTGACGGCCGCCGCTACGGCATTCTTAAATGGCCAACGTCAAAAGAAAAACCAAAATTATAATAATAATAACCGTTGTTTCCGTTAGTTCGTGAACTGTGTCTTAACGGCGACAACCCTGTGTGCGAGTGTGTCACACGTCTTAAGGAGCCATTGCCATGCAACCTCTCATAAAAGCGTTATTTCCATTACTTATATACATTCAATCAGTATTTCCGTTTGGCCGGTAAGGTTTAAACACGCGATATGGCGATAAAAATTCAAAAATGTACTTACAAGTTCGAGTTGTGCTTAATGGCGACCACGAGAAGTCCGCAAGCACGTGTATAGTATTGTGATCTTAAGCGTCATATTAGTCACTCGTATTATAATATATTATGTATATTTATATTTAAATTTGAAAACAACGATGGGAACAGATCAATGAGGGGTTTTGAATTTCACTAACACCATTGACATAAGTTTTACTCACAATTAGAGGAGCTCACCCCCTGCCCTTTTATACACTATATAATACAAATACATTTTATTTATTTAATATATCAATAATAATGTTAATAAAGTGATACTTCATTAATTTTATTCGGTTTTTTTTAAATATTTTACCAAGGAGTTTATTTTACCCTTTTTTTTTCTCTTTGTGAAAACTATAACAACTCTCCAAGCGTTTTATAAATTTACATCTACGTGTATTTAATGTCACAAACACATGCGAATGTATAATAATTGTCGTATATATTACCAAACTGGGTAAT